TATAATTTATTTTAATATGTTTAAATATGATATACTTATTTAATAGTTATAACTTTAAAATTTAAATTTAATAATTTGGTAGTTTAAATTAAGAAAATGATTAAAAAAGTAAGTATTTGAATATTATAAATTTTGATATTTTAGTTGAATATATGTATATATGATTTAATTGTTGTAATTTTAAAACTTATATGTAATAATTGTATAGTTTAAATTAATCAAAAAAAAAGTTTGTATTTTAACATTATAAATGTCCCAATTTATGTGTATATATTATTTACTTATTTAATTTTTATGATTAAAAATGTTAAATATAATAATTTTATAAGTTTAACTAATTTGAAAAGGTATATATATAATTAAAATGTTATTTAAAAACGTATATAATTTGATTTTTATAATTGAATATATGTATTTATTGCAATGTTAAAAAATTTGATATTATACTAAATATTATAAATTTGACAAATTGAAATAATACTAATGGAATATAGTTTTGTTTTATATTTTATTAGAAATGTCTCGTAGAGAAGTAGATTATGTGCCTAATAGTGACAACAAGGAAAACATTGTTCGGTTGGAGGAAGAAATGACAAATGAGCGATTGTTGTCAACATGGAGAAGGGCTATGACAGCTCAGCAAGCTGCTGAAGCTAAAGAAGAGGAGCCATTGTCTCCATTGTCACCCCCCAACACCGAAACTTGGGGATGACAATGACGAGGAGACATTTAGGTCATGTGACATTGGCCCTCTTATTCCTGGACATGCTGGTTTGGTCCAAGGCTTCCATGAGGAACAGGCAATCTGATAATCTCTTACCAATGCAACAGTTGTTGTCTGATATTAACCGAGCTGTGACGATGGTGTTCAACACTAACCAATGGCATTATGCAGTTCATTACGTGAAATCTAGAGGTTTTTTTCCATATTAAGTTTCATGTGTGTAAAATTAATCATGCAATTAATCTAATATTTTTTATGTTTTATTTAACAATAGGGCTACCAGAAGTGACGACATTGATTAATATAAACCTCAATTTAGAAAGAGTTCCAATAGTTGTTGCTTTTGGGGACTCTATGAGCCCAATTGGAAACGAAAATTATACTATTAATTTGAAGGTATGCTTAGTGAATTTTTTATACATTAAAAGATATTGTTTTGTAATTAATTTAAAATATTTATTTCAGGACCCAACTGCAACGATTGGTGCAAGCTTACATTACAAAGTTAAGCACCACCAACAATATGGGGAAGACATTGTTGTTGGGTGTGTGTTAGTTTTGAAACAGGTAATATTTGTTGTATAATATTAAATTATATGTTATTTATCTACTGAATTTAATTTGTTTTTTTTTCTTCAAGTTGTCGTGTTTGCCCCGAATCATATCCGTGGTCCTTACTTCTTGAACATAACCAAAAATAATGTACAACGGGTGGGTATAGTCAGTCAAATTTAATTTATTGTGTAACTAATATTGTTTATTAAGCAATTATTATTCTTTAACAAGTGTATGTTACATTTTTTTAGGTTATTCCGAAAGATATTTGATTTAATGAGGAAATAATGTTTGTATTTCAGTTTTAGGTTTATTTCTAATTTGGACGATAGTAATTTAATGTTTTATTTAGTTTGTAAAATTTAAATTTGGAGAACATTATTATTAATTATTGGTAAAATTATGCACTTCATTTAATTACATGTATTTGTTGTTGTTGTTGTTTTTTAAATGTGTAATGAATAATAAAAATTGTAATAAATCAATGTTAAAAATTTAATTAATATATGGTCCTTATAGTTAATTTTTAACAATTGATAAAGGTCAATGTCTGCCTATAAATATATTATTTTATTATAGTAAAGGTCATATTATTTTATTATTTTGGTGTTCCACATCTACCTATAAATATAAGAGTATGTGTGTGTTTTATGTTCAGACAGTTGAGAAAGAATAACCTTCCAAGTTTCTCTTCAACTTAAGATACAAATATTGTAGTAGTGATTTCGAAGAATGGCATCATCAACAGTGTTTGCTCTTGTGTTTCAAGATGTTCAGATATTTGAAACTCAATATGGTCTTGATTATATCATACAAATTCCATCTAGTGGAAGACTTATCAAAGGAGGTTGATCAAAGGGCACAGTAAACGCATTAGTCAACTTCATTATCGTTGTCCAGTTAAATACGAGGAAGGACGAAAGCAATATAGTCCATATCATTTAACCTGTGATGAAGATGTGGCATTCATGTTTCACAGATTTGCAAAAGACCTGAATGAATTACTACTAAATTTGTTTGTTACTTTTGAAGATGTGGAGCCTCAACAATTCCAGATGTGGAACATGGTCAGTTCATTTGAAAGACAACTAAACTTCATGTAGCTTACCTTATACGTTAACTATCAGTGTTTAGTTTTTTAAGTGAGAATGTTTAGTTAAAAGAGGATTGTGTTGTTTGATTCGTTGTTGTTGTTGAAAGATAGTTTGTAATATAGTATTGTTTAACAATACTTAAGTGTTTGTTAAAGTTTAAAAGTGTTGTCTTAATTTGAATGTAGTACTAAAGTGTTCAAGTATGAATAATATTGAAGTGTGTGATTAAGAAATGTGATAATATTTTCGTTATAATGAAAATTAACAATTGAAAAATGTAAACCATAAAGTAGGTAAAACTAACGGCTTTGATCGCACCGACAAAATCAACGGTATAGATCATCTCTATTTTGTAAGGAACATTGTTCATGGGTCAGAAGTTTTTGTCTCCTAGTAACAAGGGAAAGAACGACCTTGATCGCACCGACAAGATCAACGGTGTAGATCATCTCTATTTTGTAAGGAACACTATTCATGGGTCAAAAGTTTTGTCTCCTAGTACTAGGGGAAAAGAACGGCCTTGATTGCACCGACAAAATCAACCGTGTAGATCATCTCGATTTTGTAAGGAATACTGTTCATTGATTAAAAGTTGTCTCCTAGTAACAGGGGAAAAGAACAGGACATACTCGGGAGTCGGCATACTCGGGACATACTCCATTGACATCGATGCCGGGATATGAGCTGCACCAAACGTTGATGGTGTGTCAAACCCAAAACTAGTTGAACCACTGATATCACCAACAAATGTGTCTTGTGCACTACCATAAACATACTGTGTGACATCTCCATATGGGGTCAATGTCGTCGGATAATATGTCCCCGTCGACGGCCCAATCGGAGGAACTGGCATTTGTAAACCCTAGTGATCAACTCGCCTTTGTCGACGACTTTGCCCCCTTCCTTCTCGTTGACCTGTCCCAATGTGCTCCACTTCAACTGCGCCTGCTTGTGCTAATGCTACAGGTGGAGCTGGTGTAAAAGGGAAACTCACCCTGTTCACCTCGTCCTGCAACTGCAAGCATTGGTCGATCCTCTCATGCATCACCGTAAAATCGAAGGAGTGCTTATGTTCTTCATTGTTGCCATGATACATGTGCTCCAAAGCATCGATCTACAAATAACAAAACAAATATAATTAGAATACTAAATTTGTAAATATCTCAAAAGTAATTAATTAAATAGATCCCTAGATTCGTACTCACCACATATCCTTTCTTTGCACTAGAAGGAGAAATCTATCGTCTAGTATGTTTCCTATACCACACCATGTATTCTGAGCTATTTCTCAAGTGTGGTGTATCACACGCAGCTAGGGATGACAAATATACTCGTACCCGCGGGTAATACCCGAACCCGTCCCGACTTTGACGGGGAATACCCGGTTTGACCGGGTATGGGTACGGGTACGGGTAAAACCCGATATTTTAAATTGAGTACGAGTACGGGTATGTACTTACCCGCCCCGTACCCGTACCCGTACCCGTCCCCGTTTCCATTTTTAATTTAATACCCACTTTTAATTTAATTATATTAAAGAATTTTAGTATTTTTTTATGTGTGATTATTTATTATAATATGACATAGAAAAATAACCTAATTATAATTATAATATAATTAAAAAAATAATTTAAAAATATTATATTTAAAAATAAAAATAAAAAATAAAAATTTTGACGGGTACGGGTACGGGTACGGG